ATTAGTTTCACGGCAGTTTCAAAGTTGGAGCGATGGTTCCTTTCTAAATGAACTCTGGCTCGTTTCCACGGAGGACGCTTAGCGTTTCTTCTGCTCTCCTGCAGGCTAACGAGCTGGGCATGACGTCCGCCTTCTACAAGTACATCCTCACCACCATGGTAAGAGCTCCACACCTTCATAGCTCGCCACTTAGTTCTCCTCATCTTCACCGGTCCTTCCATAAAGAAGATGCTTCATAATCGTCTGATTCTTCATCTTCATCACGTAGTGACCCTCCTCCTCCTCCTCCACAGCTTTCTTCTCCACAGGCTTTGATACTATTGATAACGGCTGATAAAGGAATCGCTCAGGGATTATTTTGCTCTGTGGATGACACACCAGCCACATTTATGCTGGTGACTCAATGCTGCAGACCTGCCTTCCTTTCCTTTCCTTTCCTTTCCTGTTTTCTTGTTTCCTTTCCTAAAGATGATTCCTACTTTCTTCTCCTCGGTTTCATGTCCTTTTCTGTCCTCTATCTCTTCCATCTGTTCTCCTTCCATCCTCGTTTGTGTCGCCTGCAGTGATGGGGATAACGGCGTTACTAACAGCATTACTTTTTTCAGTAACGAGTAATCTAACTACTTACTATTCCTACCGTTACAACGCCGTTACCGTTACTAACAAGAAAATGCGGTCGCGTTATTATTTTTCAACAAACAGACGGGTGAAGCTGTGTTCAGCTTACAGCATCTTACATCAGCTGCAGGAAGTAGCTGTAAGTAATCTGGACGCTGCAGCTTTAAGCAGCTGCGCTCCCGCGGACGGTGATCACAGCTGGAGCTCAGGTGTTATATATATATTTATATACAGCTCATATACCAGTTTATAAACTGTCAGTAAAACCAGAGTCATGATAAACAAGATATACGGCGTTTTTCCCTGAATAGTTTCACGTTTACTGTCTAAGGACAGCAGCGAGACCTCTCTGCTTATGAGCAAACAAAAACAGCCCGTTCATGTTGGTGGAAAAATGCACCATGTCGACCAATCAAAAATTATATGGTGACATGACGTTTGGTTGTTCAGGAAGAGGCGGAAGATTTAGGAGAGAGAGAGAGAGAGTTTTGAGATGTGAGAGATTTGTGACGTTTAGCGTGTTTGGTGTAGTTA